AAGGAAGGAAGGAAGGAAGGAAGGAAGGAAGGAAGGAAGGAAGGAAGAAAGAAAGAAAGAAAGAAAGAAAGAAAGAAAGAAAGAAAGAAAGAAAGAAAGAAAGAAAGAAAGAAAGAAAGAAAATAACCTTATTTTGTTCAAAGGCAGAAATTAAATTTAACACAATTTAGCATGCTTGGGTATTCCTAAGGTGGCTCAGGATTTTAACTTATTGGCTCATTCTGAATTTTGGGATATGGTTGGCCGGTCTGGTAGATTCTTGATTGGCATTGCCAGTAGGTAAGATGGGATGCATCCCAATTTGTACCCAGGAAAACAAGGAAATCAATAGAAACATGTTCACTAATTAAGTCATATTTTTCTATAAGAAATGTCTCTAAGAACAAATTCAACTTGAATTGTGCCTGAAGGAAAAACACAGTATTCTATCATTTAACTGAAGGGATGTGAACCATGGTTTATAACCTTAAGACTCAAATTTTTCACACCTCACTTACTGGATCAATTTGTCCCCCAAAGCAATTTTACACCAACCAGCAGTTATACTGATCAACCAGCAGAATTCTGCTGTGTATCTCACTCCCAGACAAATAGTTGAACGTTTTTTCTTCACTTTGCAAAATTATTGAGAAATAGCTACAGCTCGATTGTTATCTCGAGGCAAATGGGTTTCCATAATCGTCTCGTCTCTTCGGTCTCCATCCACAATCCTCTTTCATCGGCTCAGGTTTTCTTCGAAGGCCAACCAGCCATGATTAACTAGGTTAGGTCAGGGACCTCCAATCTTGGCAACTTTTTAAGTTGTTGTGGACTTCAGCTCCCAGAATTCTTCATCCAGTTGGGGGATTCTGGGAGTTTGAAACCCACAGGTCTTAAAATCAGTTTTGGAGACCTCTGGTTCCAGATGTTAAAGGATTAATTGCAAGGGCTGGAGGCGACGCTCCCTTGGTCGTTTATTTCCGTTTCCATTCCATGCTGCTCGAGGGCAATATTCAGACGGAATAAGAGGGAATTTTCAGATGTTTGAGAGGAGTAATTCTGGATTTTAAGCAACCCTGTTAAGTATTTGGATGTGGTGGGAAGTGAAGATCATAGTGAAGGTCAGAGGAGGGAGAAGCTCATACCATGCATAAAGCAATCTATTTCTATCACCCACCCACCCATCCACCTACCTACCTTTCATGTCTTCTATATCTATTCTCCTATCATCCTATCATCTATCTATATGCCTGTCTTTCTATCCCTCTCATCTATTTCTCTATCCCTCTATTATGTCTGTCTGTACCTATCTATCCATCTATCATCAATGTATGTCTTTTATCAATCCATGTCATCTATTTCACTATTTCTCTATCTATTCTATCCATCCATCCATCATTTCTTCTATATCTATCTATCCTATCTATCATCTGTCTTCATCTCTCTATCCCTCTCATCTATTTCTCTATCCCTCTATCATGTCTAACTAT